ATTTTCCAAATGCTATATTAAATTTTATAACTCTATGTGGTGGTGGTTTTACAGATGAAGATGCAATTACTGGAAAAACACTTGATGAAATGATATCATTATTTAATATAAAATTATTTAGTAGACATGCAGCTATCGTTGATTTTAAAAAATTATCACTTTGTCAACGAGCACATTTTAAACGTGAATATCAAAAATCAATCTAGTTTAAATATAAAGATATATTTTGAGATCTTAATCTTTGTTTATAGTTATTGAATATGATTCAATGAGAATTATTCCTTTTTGAGATATTTGTTTTTTCAATGAACTCGGTGATACAATTGCAAGAGAGTGAAACACATAAAAATATCTATCCATCATCATTAGATGATGATAAACAACAAATACTTGTAAGAACTTTTAAATGAATAAAAAAAAAATTGTTAAATATTTTAAAATTGATTTAGCAATCATGTTCATCATCTTCCTCTGAACATAATGATTCCATTAAAGAAATACTATCAAATCATCGAAAAATTCTTTTTGATAAAGTACTTGGTGAAATGTTAACACGACATTTTTATTTAATTCAACATGAATTTTCATCATCAGATCGATTTGAAGGTTGGATTTATATATATAATCGTCATCGATATAAAATCATAATTAGTTATCATTCATCATGTTCACGTAAAAAAAAGGCGACCTCAAGATTCACAGTAATTTTTGATCCCAGAAAAGGATATGTCTATGCTTGTCGAGAAGACTGCCTGTATCTAATGACATATGCATTATCATATTATATTCTGTAACATTGAGATGTCAATAGAGGGCACTACGGTGTTTTGTAGCTACGATGGAATACCAAGAAGGTAACGCCCTCTGGTTATATATATCAATCGTACGCAATATAACTTGATGATACATAAACCATTAAATACAGAAAGTTTTCCTCTACAAATATACATATATCCCATTCTGAGTTCAAAACTTCATAGTTGTCTTTCAAAAGAATTGTTTGTCTACACTTTCTATTTGTATTAAAACATATTTTTTTACTGTTAATCTCTATCAATTGGATCTTCATCTTTCAATCACGAAATATGATCGATTTACTAATATAGATTTAGAATATATTTTTTAAGGATAAATTCATCGACTTTGTTCAATTGTTCCACCATCGTCACAATTAAATAAAGAAGAACAATTACTTTTAACTTTTAAACGTCAATCAATTGATTATGATAATGTTTGTCCAATATGTTTCGAGCGCTTACTTATGAAAAATAGAAAATTAGTAACACATTTTTATTCATGCGATAAATCAATGCATCTTATCCAATTGAGAAACAAAAAATATATTTTTTCTTATTTATACACTGCACCAGATTGTTTCTAGCCATTTGTCATCATCTATATCTATCTTAGTGCTTAGTTCAGATATTTTCAAGTTTGATTTGATTTATATTTTCTTTTTACTCAAATAGAAATATATCATGTACTCATTGATTCTGAATAAACAATATATCTTACTAATTGAACTTTTTATGGATTAATTGATGATTCATTACTACTGTAGACATACTCAATCTTTTGTTTGTCTTTTAATAAAAGAATAGGATATGAGGAGATTTTTTTAAAATTATTTCAGATGAGTGTAACAAATAATTTTAAACGAAAAACATTTGCTGGCCAAAGCTCACCAATGGCACAATCAAACGGTACACAAATCAAACGACCAAAACGGTATGATAATCTTAATATTCTTTATGCACATAAGAAGAAAATAAACCTTCATTGTATTTTGACATACCGAAAAGATGTTTGATTTTGTAAAAAGAAATTTTAAATAACTATGCAAATGAATTCTGAGATATTGGCTGACAAGAATTTTGTAATTATCATTGAATTTT